GATTTTTGTATTTTTGCCCAAAAATCTAACAGTTAGAAAGCCCGAAATGTCCTATAAAAAATCCTTGATACATACATCCAGGGCCGGCCATGAGGGGGTGCCAGTCGTGCGACCGCACAGGGCCCCCAATTTTTAGGGGCCCCTGAATTTTAATAACCTTTGTAATGTACTACATATAAAAAAAATGTGAACACAATTCACATTGTTTCCTTAGGGGAATCGTCAAGCGCTGATACTTGCGTTTGCGTTTGCACGGGTTCGACTCCCAGTAGATCCATTTTGGGCTTTTTTTGAACTACATTAATTTTTTTCTTTTCTCTTTAATATTTGTAGTTTAATTTCTATCGTTATAAAAGAGAACTTTTGATGATAAATCTATGATTAGGAATATCATAATTAATTAAAATCCTTAAAAAGTTTGAAGATATAATCTTTAAAACCCCCTTTTCATATATGACATCTTTTTTTGAACTACATTAATTTTTTTCTTTTCTCTTTAATATTTGTAGTTTAATTTCTATCGTTATAAAAGAGAACTTTTGATGATAAATCTATGATTAGGAATATCATAATTAATTAAAATCCTTAAAAAGTTTGAAGATATAATCTTTAAAACCCCCTTTTCATATATGACATCATTTAATCAAATGCATATCGTTCGTTTATTCTTTTGGTCAGCTTTTAAGGATCATCTAATTTTCATCCTATTTGAAGACCATTTAGTCATCCATATATAATAAAACTTTGCTCACAACACTAAAGTGGAGGTGAGTAGGTGATGCTCATCCCCCTATTGATTACCATTAAATTAATTTGGTTTAATTGATTTAAGACACGAATCTCAAATTCTAACTAATCCAACAACAATCAACCAAGTGAGGGTTAGAATCATTCTCACTTTAGGGAGTGAGAAAAAATGCATTAAAAAAACTTACAGCTCATTATAAGATGCTACAAATATCATAACCAGTGATTTGTTTAACTAGTTCATAATAAAGAGCATGAGTTGTTCTGATTATGATATATGTACGGTGATATGATATGTACATATCCACCACACCATGCTTTTTGTATTTAAAAAGTAAGTTCAAACCCAAAAACATAAAGAATGTAGATACATAGCCACCAAACCATGCTTCTTTTTTATTTATTTTCTTTTGCGTTTATATCAATTTATACACAAGAAATATATATATATATATATATATATATAAAAGAAAATATAGCAACCAAAATTTAAATCTTGTAAGGGCCTCCGTTTGAGTCTCGCACAGGGCCTCCAAAATCTCAGGACCGGCCCTGCATACATCATTCATGTCAGTGCTCGAGTGGTCAATATCCATTACGCTAATAGCACAACTGTATACAACCCTAGCTAGCAAACAACATGTCATCATATGTGCGTCCTTGCTCGAGTTTCTGCACACAAATATAACTTTCAGGTCCATCTGCTGGCAGTTGACGACAGCCAAGAGAACTGAGATTGCAACTTTACACGTACCTAAAAGATATAGATTTTGGAGAAGATGCCTGTGGAATATATGGATCTTCCACAAGCATCCATAAAAAAAAATCTGTTCTCTTTCTCTTTTTCATCTGTTCCCCATTTTCTCGATAATCCTATCAAGCATTGTTGTATTGAAACCAGAACACTACTTCAAATTTGATTCTGTGTGAAAGCTACGTTATATATGTGACCTTTCAGGTTGAGGTAGGGACAAGATAATTATATGCACTGAATACAAAATTATGACCCGTCTAATAAATTGTTAACTAAATTGATGTGATATCTAGCATATGATTTTAGGGCATGAAGGAATATTTCAAGTGTCAGATACCCTAGTATTTTGAATTCTGGGTAAGGTGAGTACTATAGGTTACCCTAGTATTCTGAATTCTGGGTAAGGTGACGGGTACTATAGGTTAGAGATCCAGGGATCCAAACTCTCATTTGTAACAAAAAGAAATCTGGATCAAGAACGTGTAATACATACAATTTGCGAAACAGAATCCTTTTCAACGTAAATTAAGAGGAATTAGTACTTATAATATTCTGTTCAACGTAAATTAAAAGGAATTAGTACTTATAATATAAGGTGATGAAAAGCATTCCAAATCACTCAAGAGTCAAGAGAAGACAGCATTGTTCTATTGTATATGCTCATCTTGGACAGTATAAATAACTGGTCTCCATGGCATCATTCTGCGGTACTGAATGAAGATCAGCTAGCTGCAGTTGCATTACAAGGCAGTTCTCTCCTTTGGCAGACAACAATTATGAGATGCAAGTGTTGGCTTCATGCATTCCTGCCAAAGGAGATTTGCCCAGCAATTCTCCTGCCGCTTTGTTTCACCTACAAAAATTCTGTTGTTAATAATTCGCTTTTGGATATAGATGTTTTGATTTATATAGAGTCATTCAAATTTATTGATTACAAAAATGGTACGGTTAGTCTATATCTGTAAGTATTTAGCAACACACTCAAATGGCATCGTCATTTTATTAGATTTCAGTAGATCTTTCACACAATATTCATTTCTTATTTCATGTCTTTCGGCAGGACGCTGGCTATATACACACATATACATCACGGAGTAACAAACTTTTAGAGTAAATAAAATATGTTTCACAAGATCATAAAATAATAAAGATAGTTATTAGCAAGGAAGAGAAGTACACACAAATAAAAAAGGGACTATAGCTAGTGACGTGCCATTGAAAATTTTGAGTAAATTTAGCATTTTATGATTAAGGATAAAAGAAACACACACACGCACAAACGAACCTTTATAGGGTTTAATATTCACGTGGTGTCGAAAGAGGTAGAACTCTAGATCAGGACTTTGGGTAAGAAAATACTTTTAATCAACTGAACAAAAAATTCCTTGCATTGAGAACTTTTAGGTAACTTTGTATCATTAATTTATTTCAAACTTTCAAGGCACTAGTCACGCCATTGCACTTTTGGGGCAAATTTGACACACAAAATTAGTCATGTTTCTGAAAGAAAAAAATCATGATGCCTTTATTGAATTTTGCTGCTTTATTCATTAATGAGACTAGTGATAATGCTTAGTTAAAATTTTACGGAAAATTTGGGGACATATAATATACCTTATTTCTGTCCCTAAACATCAATAATAACACTAATGGAACAATCAGATCACCGAATTATGGCGATATTGTTCTCTAAAGATTTTTTTTTTGACAAATTGTTCTATAGATTTTGGCCAGTCATGTGTCTTGTCTTCATAAACACATACAGAGGTCTTTTTCTTGTAGTGATTGAGGTGAACCCTTTTAAACACATCACAAGCCCTTATACGTACAAGGAATAAGATTTTTTAAAGAGTAAGTAAATTACAAGTAATTGCAAGTTTTGTGGGAGATTCTAATTAGGTTTTTTATTTTATCACAGAAACCAATGTGGATTTGTAGCCCACTTAGAAACCAATTACTGGATCCAATTTTAATACGACTGTGGCAAAAGTATACTTAGGGAAAATACTAGAAAGTGGAGAAGGAATTAAATCAATTAATCCTCTGAAATGTTCAAAACTATTGTTAGTGGATATATATACCAATTTTAATTGGCACTTTTCTAGACTAAACCTATGTTAGGATTGATTCTAATCAAGCTATCGAAGATTAAGCCCAACTAATTAAGCTAATCAGACTTGAAGGGTGCTAGGGTTTACACATGAAATATTACATATATGCTAGCTTTTTACCGTGAAAAGTTATAGAGGATAGAGAGAACTCACATATGCATTAGAGAGAAATTATGTGTGCGTGTAAACAATTTTTGAGTGAGTTCATGTGCATATCATATCATGATCCTAAGATTTGTTCCTTGGTTGAGATCTTTCTAGCTAGGGTTTAAACATAATTCCATATCTTGAGATTGTGAGTGAAAGATCCAGTGGAGAAGAGTCGTGAATCGAGATTGTCATTAAGACGACGTAGCGGTTGTGTAAGTCCCGAGAGTGTTGGAGGGTGTCCTTGCGTGCTAGGCTAAGGTGTCGTGGTGATTGCCTAATCCCAATAGGTGAGTCTTGTAAAGTTATATTTCTCATAATGGACTCGTTTTACTGGATTGTGTACACAAGGATGTTTCTCCATGTGTTGAAGTTTTACCGTGCTAAATCATAGTGTACTGTTATTTAGTTTTCTGCACTTCATTTATTCGTGCAACAGAATTGATATCTGCTTTCAATACTGTTGTCTAATTGTTATTTGCTTTCGCTCATTGCACTTATTGATCACAACTTGGTTTCTATTTTCTATGCATACCTGATCAACGCGATTAATAATTAATTAAAGTGTGTGAAAATTGGATTAAGCCTATTCAACCCACCCCTCTAGGCTTTGTGTTACAACTATTTGTGTTTTCAACTATTCACAATTTCTTGAGTGAAATTTCATCTATGAATATATTGTACAAAAAAATTATTTATTTATTTATTTATTTTTATCGGCTTTCAAGCACCACTTGACTTATACAAACTATCAAGACTTAATTATGTCAATGCTAATATAGTGATACTTATCTGTCATCCGTTGTCTTTGTTGCTTTGAATCATCTCAGTACTTTTCAAACGGTTGTATCAAGATCATCTGAAATCACTAGCTTTCCAAGAATCAAGTCTAGTAGGGTTCCTGAGCGCTGCGCAAAATTTAGTACGTACAAATCAAACTGCAAATTTGCAGTTATCAATCTGTATCAGGCTTTCATCAGCATTGTTGTGACATGATAATGCAGACGAGTTTCTCAAGTTGAAGTTGAATAATGTAAGGCATATCCTGTTTGTCTTTTAAATAATCTGATGTCCACCCCATCAAGTTAACTACAAGATCATTAATTAACAGCAACAGCTAGCAACAAATAAAATGACAAAAATACAAAGATGTGCTTACTGTATATGAAACCGATAGATGGAAGTGCATGAATACTAATATATATATATATATATATATGGATATTCCTTGGTAGAGTTCTTGAATTGCAGGGCAATTCTCCTTTGGCAGAAAGCATATATATGTATCCAGCGATAGTACTCAAGAGTATATGCACCAGAATGACTTCTGCCAAAGGAGAATTGCACTGTTATTCATCCCTACCCTCAGCACGGTCCTTAATTAACTGTGCACCATGCATCATGCATATGCATATATACTTGTTAATGCGCTTTGCTGCAGGAAGTTGAATTGCTTGCCATGGTTTTTATTAGGGTATGAATCGTGTGATTCGCACATTTGAAATGGATATTCCGTGGAGAACGATCAGTATATGCCAGGCATCATTCTCTATTGAGCTTCTCTTCTTGCTATATGCTATCATGGTCCCCTTCCCCTTCACTTAACAAAGCTGTTGTGTATTCTCTTCCCACACATGTCAACATCAAAATGTTTAGTTCAAATTTCTTTTCACATTGAGTTTGTAGTCATCTGTCTTGATTAACTAATATTGTCCAGTCCTCTGGCTTCTGCCTAAATTATACAACGTACGTAAGATAGGTTTAGGGTTTACCATATATGTTAACAATAAAGTTATGTGTAGGTTTAGGACATATAGGAGTTTTTGTATCGATCAAATTTATTAACTTAGCATATTACGCCTCTAAACTTTACAACTGTTGTAATAATTGACCTTTCTCTATATTCTCAAACAATATGTCAATAACAGAAAGAAAGCAACAACATTCAGATATCACTAGAAATGCAAAGGGTAATTGGATATGCTGAGGAAAACAGTCGCATATGCTGCGGACGGGTCGATATATTCCTCCTGGAGCTAGCAATAGGTTCCCTTTCTCCATCATGTGATCGTGGTCCAAACCAATTTCCTCTCCTGTCCATCTCAATATTTTAGCCATCTTTGTGCTGTGAGGTCCGGTTATCAATCTCTCCTTTAGTCCATATGCATGTTACATGCAAAAGTCTTTATATACGAATATACGTACATATTTACAGCCTTCATTACGGAAACAATACGTGCTTGGAAAATAGGCATGCCTGGTGATTTGCACATTCCGTTGAATCTTCCTCCATCAAAGTCCTTTTTGAGTATTTTTCTTTTTTGGGCGGATTTTGAATTTTCTTGTTTGACCTTTTTTATTTGGGTTCTTTAGATATAAGCCCATGCAACACTTATTTCTTTGACAAAAACCTATCTCATTTTAAACATCCAAATAAAACCCAAATTTGAAATAAATTGCCATGTAAACAAATAAATACCTATTATTTTCAAAATATTTACAATTGTGCCACAACACCCTAATTATGTTGATGAATTTAATTACCACCATAATTATAGCAAATAAGTGCTCTATTATTACAAAAGTATCTATTTTATACTTGTCTTACCAGCATCTGTTCCATTTCTTTTATTTGTTTGACAATCATTGTAGGTAAATTATTTTGCATGTATACATTAGGCACATTTTGTTGTTATTATATATGTGTCAAATAAATTACCTATATTTTTAAGTAGAATAAAGGTAATTAATTAACTTTGAATCAATTGGGTAAAAACATCCTTTTATTTTGTAGGTAAATAATTTTGCATGTATTAATTTATTACATATACTAGGCACATTTGTTATTATTATGTGTTGTTTGCAATCAATCAACATTCATTTATTCAGTAGGTAAATTACAAAAGTATCCACTTTATACTTGTCTCACCATCATCTATTCCATTTCTTATATTTGCTTGACAATCATTGTAGGTAAATTATTTTGCATGCATACATTAGGCACATTTTGTTATTATTATATCTGTGCAAAATAAATTACCTATATTTTTAAGTAGAATATAGGTAATTAAAAACATCCTTTTATTTTGTAGGTAAATTATTTTGCATGTATTATTACATATGTTAGGCACGTTTTGATATTATTATTTATTATATATATATATGTATGCAAATAGCTTAAATAACTTTTGAATCAAACAATATTTATTTATTTATTACGTAGGTAAATTATTTTGCATGTATTATTTTACCTGGAACTTATATTGTTATTTTATATATGTAAAATATTGGTAATTTTTGAATAAAATAACATTTGTATATTTGTGAAAAAAATGCTAATTTACTTGTTACAATTATTTGAAAGGGAAAAAAAATGCTCATTTTTACATAAATGTGAAAACAACTATATAAGGAAACAAAACTCTAAGGTCATGTAATTTTTGTTATTAATATGCATTGAAATCATGACACACAAATTTTTCTTTTCCAAATGTGCATAAACATTTCAAAACGTTTAATTGAATGAAATAATATAAAATAAATGTAGATAACAAGTAATAAACCCAAAGTCAATAATATTAGAGGTAATTTAGACATCTAAAAATACCAATTTTGCCAAGTCATACTTAATTATGGATATTGCTTAGTTGGAGCCTAGTCATTGGGTTTTTATTAGAAAATTTTACAATTGGGGGTTTTAGTTAATGAAAATTGAATTCCAAGGGGTATACTCATATTTTCAGTTTTTATTTTTACTTCTTTTGTAATTCATATGTGACACAAGTAATCAGGCATAACATCATAGTGTATATGAATACTCTGTTTCTATCGATTAAGCACATCCTCACGTGTGGCGCTGTTCAAACCAAAAAATGCAAAGTGGAAAGAGTTAGGAGTCTAATTAAATTACTGAAACTAGTCGACTACATAAAAAAAAAAAAAAAAAAAAAAATATATATATATATATATATATATAGCCATACACACACACACACATATATCATTCTAGTAGATAAATAAATCCATAAAATATTTATTTCTTCAAGACAAATGTAGTAGCTAATCTTTTCTTTTCTTATTATTCAAACGTATGTGCATATTAGCTAGTACTGGGAAATAAGGCAAACTATACAAGGTTGTGGTGGCGATGGAATAAAAGCTACAGGACCACATATTCTCTTCACTGCACTACTCAACAAACTAATCTAACAAGCTGGTAAATTGGATGTGCTCAGGATATGCTATTATGCATGGCCGGTTCCAGACTTTTCTCTTCCATATGACTGTATATAAACATATTGAAACCGTTCTGTACTCCTCCCGAAATCAAGTCACGAGTCACAACTATTGGCCCTTGATTAGTACTCATATACATATAGCATGCACCTCTTCCCCCTAAATATTGAGGGTGAGATACAGGAGACAGAAGAGGCAAAATAAATAGCAAAAAAAAAAAAAGAGTGAGTGAGAGAGAGAGTGGTTAGTAGTCAAAGGTGGGTATGCATGGATGCATTACTGGGCAATTACTGCTTTGGCAGTTGGTCAGTGACCTACTACCTGCATGTATACTATACAGTTATATATGTTTATATGATTATATTAAACGTAGTCTGTGCTCACTGCCAAAGGAGATTTGCCCCGCAATTCATCAGCTGTGCAAGTTAACTCATATCCAACCCAGCCATATATGCATGTGATCATGAATCGTCTCCAACTCCTGCAAGACGTCCCAACTGCAGGTAAGGATATAGTACTCCCACTAGGCCACTACGTTATGTATATATGCACGCATCACTGGTGGATATGTATATATAATGTAGCTCACAAATATTAAAGAGATTAGTTTATAATGACTTTTTTTTTTGTTCTTTGGTATAACATGCAGAGAATATAGGGCATAGCTCATTTTCTTATTGCACCACATGTGTTTTGATATCAACTAGCCTGAACGAAAACAGCAATAAAAGCGTTTGGTTGCACCACATGGGTTTAGGTTGATCACCTAACTTATATATATAAGAAGGGCCTACATGATGCGGCGTGTAGATCATAGTTTTGCGCCATTAATATAAGATATCACTATAATAGAATTCATGTGTCGTAAAATTCATCGTTGAACTTATATAACTCACTTATAGGTGCATGATCAAACTATAGGGTTGACCAGTTTTGATGTGGCCACCTTCTTCCGTAGTTGAGAAGAATATATATTTTTTTGTTAATCAATAATCAAGCATCGATCAGTCAAAGGAAATAAATATGTATATACTTCTTTAACATCTGTATAAGCATTTAATCTGACTTCAATAGTTCGTTAGCAAAGGTTAGTTTATACCTAATTTTTCCAAGAGAAAACAAAATAACAAGAAGAAGAAAGAAGAGGGAGGAGGAGGAGCTAGGGTTAGGAGGGGTACGTGTAGTGTGAACTGTGGAATTGTGAATCAGTGGCTCTTTAATTTAACTTCCAGTCGGAACCAACCATTGGTTGAGAGGAATATGCACGTGTGTAAACTTGGATTATTTTGTCAAAACGTGACGCATATGAATTTTGACTCACTGATCCAGTCAGCTGGGTTTATTCATCTTAGTATGAGAATATAATTTAAAATCTGGTTCCTCCGTACTAAAACTAATTGTTATATTATGTACTCTCGTTGAGATTACACTCTAAAACTAATCAGTTTGTTAATTCTCAACTGAGATTCAAAGTCAAACACATAACTAACCGATATTGAATATTGTAGGTGATATGAAATGAAATACATATAATTATCGGATTTTACATATAAACCGAGATATTATGATAACATGAAAAAACTCGAAATTTTATCTTTAAATTAATTGAAATAATAAAAATAATTACCCAACTATTTATAAATTTTATAAGATTTATCAACTTTCTGACGTGAGAGACAATAAACATCTTCTCACATAAAGTTCTCAACCTTCACACGATATCTTCTAATTGACTTATAGTTTTCTATAGTCTACTTCTAACATTTTCTTAATACGTACCCAATACAGAGAGCTCAGAGACCTTGTCCCTCCTTGCAACCCTAGTTGCTTATTGTGAAACTAAGGCCACATGATCGCTTTTCTCTTTTAGACCATACCTTTATAAACAATTTATTTTTGATACTTAATTTTGTTTGCTCGAAAATCAAACTCATAATGTATCACAAATTGACGGGATTGTGATACAAAAAACATTATTAGTTCGATTACACTATTCATCACATTAATTCAATAATTAAGATCTGCTTTTCATGAATGAGTATAATACTAATATATATATATATATATAGGAGTGTGTAGATTTTTACTTTCCATACGCTCCCTTCAATTTCTGGCTATCAAATTGAAGAATTCAAGAAGATAAAAGAACATAAATTAACAAAAAAATGTGTGAAAAGTAAAAATGAGTGTGTGGATAGCATGTATATCACATATTATTGTAATGACAAGATGGCTTCAGGCACATGATCAGCATGGTCATAAGTAGAGGGGATCCCCCAAAAAGATGGTGCCAAGAGTGCTCAATCTCATGATCATGTGCTTCCTTTTTCTTTGGCCCAACGAACCAAACTTTCCTTAAAGCTCCCACAAACAGTCCCCATATATAGTCTGTGTAATACTTTTTCGATGCACTGATAGTCCAATTCAATAATTTGATTCTATCTACTTGAATAGGAGAGATAGATAACTCGATCGGTGTACACAAATCTTACCCAATTGTTAGGTTGCAAGTGCATGTCAAATGTTGGACCAAGCCACTTTTATGATACATATATGCGCATGAACCCTATTTATGAAAGCTGTTAGATTTGTGTAATTCAGAAGCAAGCATCATTGCTATAGTCATATTATTGATTTGCCATTGTTAGATGCACACTTATGTCATCTAACATGATAGACATGCCACCAACAGATATACATCTCAATCGTTTTTAGGGCTCATCTTTTAAATTTTATAGTGGAATAATGCGCATGTAACAAGCTACACAATTATAATCAATTTGATTATAATTAAGTAACGAATGAAAATTTACGTGAGTCTAACTTGAAAAATTCTTTAAATCAAGTAGATAGAACGGGTAAAACCGTAAAACTATAAACTACGTTGACAAGGTGTTGTGGTTTATAGTGCAGACAAATAATCATATATCACATAAGCAACGACTTTGTCACAATCTAGGGTTTTATCTACTAACTTCCTCACAATGTTCATAGAAGTTCAACGACACGGGGAATTTTTTAAGAGTAATGCTAGGAAAATTAAATTTTAAAATTAAATTTGCAAACTAAATAATGTGTCACCAATAGAAATGAGCACGTCTATCAACGTTTAAGTAATAAACCAATCATTAACTTCTATATCCTTTAGTTTCTAAAATTTAGTCTCCAAATTGAGTCTTCCTAGCATTACTCATTTTTTAATGTACTAAACATACGATCCAATACGTTAAGTGTTATAATGTAAGTGGTATGATATTTAAAATGTAACTTCCCACATAGCCCAGGGGAGTGGATCCTCTAAGCTTATATGTATATTCTCATCTTTACATAGCACAAGGCATTTTGGGAGTTCACTAGCATCGGGTTCCATCGGAACTCCGAAGTTAAGCGATGGAACTTCGAAGTTAAGCGAGTAGCGCGTGAGAGCAATTCCATAATGGGTGACCCACTGGGAAGTTCTCGTATGAGTTCCCAGAAATAAAACCGTAAGGGTGTGGTCTGGACCGAAAGCAGACAATATCGTGTTACAGTAGAATCGAGCTCGGGATGTAGTGGGGGCCCGGACCGAGATGTGACATAAAAACTCATGAATCCTACTTGAAAAAAAAAATTCAACTACAACGAGCCATGTTCCCTGCATTTTCCAAAAACCTTTTCACGACACGCATTAATTCCCTGCACGTTCATATGGCTTATGAATGTACACACTACAATCGGCAAATAAAAGTAAAATCAATAAAATCTAATTATTAAAGAAAAGACTCAGATGGAAAACGTGTAACGAGTCATGACATGTTGAATTATTTCAGTAGTATCAGGGCAAGACCGAGGGCAATTACGTAACTTTAAAGAGAAGTCTATGCGTTTATAAGGCCTTGCACACACGCACTTGCGCAAACACAAACAAAAACAAAAGTTGTTCTTAATTTTTTCAGCCGCCTCTCCGTTGATGGAAGCAGACGAAGTAATGGAGCTATATGATTCTTTCTGGTTTGAGCTCCAAATCATCAACAAACAACCGATTTCACCAATCCCATCAAGGATTGAAGAAAACCCAGATCATGAAATCGAAGAAAACCCAGAAAAACCATCAAAGCCAGAGTTTTTACGCATTCCAACCAGGCACACCAGGTCCATGAGCGACGAGTTGAGCTCCAAAACGACCTTCAACTTGAGCTCTCTCTCGCCTGATTCTGTCCTCCACAGACCGAATCTCTCCACGGTTCTTTCCGGAAAAGAAGCCGGAGAAATCGAAAACCCGAAACAGAGATGTGCAGAAGAAGAAACACCGAAGAAAGTTGAAGGGAGGAGAAGAAAGAAGAAGAGTGAGAGCAAGAGCTTGACGGACCTTCAGTTTGAAGAGCTAAAAGGGTTTATGGATCTTGGTTTTGTTTTCTCAGAGGAAGATAAAGATTCAAACTTGGTTTCAATCATTCCTGGGCTGCAAAGATTGGGAAAGAAGGATGATAGCAGATATGAGAGTTTTGACGAGTCTGCAATTTCAAGGCCGTACCTTTCTGAAGCTTGGGAGGTTAGGGAGAAGAGGAAGAGAGAGAAGCCATTGATGAATTGGAGGTTTCCTGCTTTGGAGAATGAGATTGACATGAAGGACAATCTCAAATGGTGGGCTCATACTGTTGCTTCTGCAGTTAGATGACGAACATCCTGGTTCTAAGATTTTTGTATTTTTTTTTCCTTCTTTCTGGCTTCAATTTTTGTTACAGTTTTTATACAGAAGATGTCAATTAACATTGTTCTACAATCTTGTAAATGCAAATAAAAGGTAGAAACTTTTTCTTGATCAGCTTATGAATACTTGTGCTTAACCTCCTCTGCATTCTAATTTCGAAAGCCTTAGCAATGCAACTTAAGAATTTCTTTCGATTTGTTCTCGACCATTCATTGTTATTTTTCTTTATATATAAACAATGCTGAGAAAAAAGATCTGAACTTAAAATCTCGAGAATATTTTGATGAATGCTCTTAACAAACTGGGCTGCAAAAGTCCTGGCAAAATGTCATAATGTTTTAAATTGTGTTTAATAGTCCCCACCACCATTCCTTTTGTGATGAAAAGAACCTTTAATTTGAAGCATAATTCGACGGGGCATTTTCCCTCTTATCTGTCAAATGATACATAATCGAGCCAACTAGAGGAATAGGAATTCAAACATCTTGGCTAGTGGAGAGAAAAGTTAAAAAGCATTGAAATTCCTAACCTACCAAGTCCTCACGAAGCGTATCTACTTCTACTCATGCATATCTATTATCTTATCTTAAGAACCATTGTTAATATCGTTATCATTTAGTTTAATATGATAATCACGGTCAATCACGGTCCAAAATAAAAAACTAATCATATTTATTTATGTGTTAGTTCGCGTGGGCTTAGTTATTGGAGTTTAGTTTTGCATTTTAGGGTTTGACAACTTGACCCTGAGACCCAGTCAGCTAAATCGAGTTGATTTTTAAATAAACTCTTGTTAATTGGAGGGTAATTTACATCATTAATGTAATCAGATTTTTAAATAACAAAAATCTTGTTAAATCGAGTTGATTTACTTTTCCAAAACAGGAAAAAATGGAGTTAATTCACTTAAAATTTTTGTGCAGCCTACCTAATACGAATTGAATAATTGTAAGGGTGTGATATCTACACATCCCATTTTACTTCTCACACACTTTTTTAATTTTCGGCCGTCGGATTGGATGAATTGAAGAAGATCAACGGACATAAATTATCAAGAGTGTGTGAGAAGTAAAATGGGGTATATGGATAGCATACGCCTAATTGTAAACGCAAAAAAAAGTTGTTCTTAATCTCTTTAGCCGCCACTCCATTGATGGAAGAAGATAAAGTTATGAAGCTCTATGAGTCTTACTGGTTAGTCTGTTTTGAGTTCAACACCCAAGCTCATCAAACACTACGTACTCGGTACATCAAGGATCGGAGCAGAACTAGATCACGATATTGAAGAAAACGATCAAAACACAAATGATTTTACGAAATCAAACCTTGTGTATTGTGGGAAAAAAAATTAAAAAATAAAAACCCTGCGTACTGTGTTCGTGATGATGAGCGATAGATATTTGTTGAATATGAGTTAGGTTTCTGTGAGTTAAAGTGCAGGTTTAATTTATTGAATTAATGAGTCCATAAGGAATCTAATGGCATGGTTCATGCGTTTAGTTATGAAATTTATTAATTAATTTCTTGTCACGCCTATGTAAAAAGCCGTATGTTGGAACTTTTTCTTTCTTTGAAAATAGGAAACAACTAGTGGCAATCTACGGTTATCTATTTCTTCCGGACCCGGAGAGGATATATAAAATTTCACCTTGCCCTTGGCCAAGGTTAAACAAACTTACCAACTTGAAGTATTGGGACCTCCCACATTTTTATGTTTACGCGCAGTCCGCACCCTTACCACTGAGCCACTTGCTATGGATTTCTCATTGTTAATTTGTTGAATATAAAAGTTTGAGCTAATTATAGTTGTTTTACACTCTGTTTGTTATTTTAGGGGGGTGTTGTCAAACTAAGATTTTAAAATTTTTTAAAAGTGATAGATTTAATAGGATTTAAGAGGATTAAAGACTCCTACAAAATTTATATGGATTTTAAAGAATTTGAATGGATTATGGTGGAAGGATTTGAAATCCTAGGAGGTGAGGTTGGATTCTGTGTATACCGTACTTAGGGCCTCCGTATTTAGATCTCGTATAAATACTCGGGGGATCAAATGTAATTATGTAATAAAGGAATGGGCATATATGTAATAAGTGAGAAGCCCTTATTCTATAAAAGGACTCCTCACTCTCTCCCTCAGAGGCTCTGAATCTCTCTCCCTCACTCCTCTCACTTCTCAGAGAAATACAATAATCAGTGTGGACGTAGCCCAAACCTTGGGATGAACCATGATACATCTTGTGTTATTTACATTTCTTGCAGATTCACGGTCGGATTTATGTTGTTTCAAGACCTCCGGTTTTGTGCATCAACAGATTCTTTTTAGTTTTGGTTATATATACTTTTTGCTCTCAAATCCCACAAAATCCACAACTTATTGAAATCCTCCAAAATCTTAATTTTTTTAATACACTTAGATTTGGATGGATTCTAAAATCCTTTAAAATCTTTTAATTGACTACACCTAGATTTGAATGGATGCTAAAATCTTTTAATTGACTACACCTAGATTTGAATGGATTCTAAAATCCTTTAAAATCTTTTAATTAACTACACCAAGATTTTAAAGTCTTTCTCAAATCCAAGTTTGACTACACCCCCTTTTAAACTCTCACTCATGAAAATCCAGAAACGTCACCTATTTGCATGGAATTTAAACTTGGGAATTGAAGGTCCTAAATTCCAAGTTTTTTTTCTCACGCGGAAATTCTAAATTTGTATATTTGTGAATCCAAACAACAGAATTAGTGCATGTCAATTTATAAATTCTAATTTTTATTAAAAGGATTTTTATCACAAATGGTCCCTGAGATTGATCAAACTCATAATTTTGGTCCCTCACTTTCAAAATCAATCAAGGGTCATCCCTGACATTCACTACCACACATGAATTTGGTAATGTTGTTAAGATTCCGTCAACTATTCTGTTAGTTTGTATGTGGGACCCACAAATCCAATGAAATGGTGACAGGTGGATTACACAAAATAAGGGTTTTTATCTCAAATGGTCCTTAACATTGATCCAACTCCTCGTTTTGGTCCCTGAGTTTCAAAAATCGATAAATTTGGGCCCTGACTTTTAATGGCGCACGTCAATTTAATCATTTCATTAAAGTTTTCGTCAATATTTTTTGTCCCACTAATCCAATCATAAACTGCCACGTGGATTAACTACAAGAAACTATTTTTTTTATGATTTAAAACTAAAAGTAAAATAAGAAACGAAAAAACAAAACTAAAAGAATAAAAAAGTCATCGTCATCTTCATCAAGATATGCTAAAAAAGAAAAGGAAGGCACCATGACACCACTAAAGTACTTGGCCTCTTAAGCTCACTCCTCATTTTCTCTAGTTGGTTATAATCCTATCAAATTTGAATTGAATTTGGATTCGGTTTTATTGAATTTAGATTGAATTTTTTTCCAATTGGGGTTGTGGGATGCGAGAAAAATGTCAGCGCGGAATACTCGTCTGTTGGTTCACTCTTAAAAAAAAGTTCCTTATAGTTATTCCATGTGGAGCCATATGATTGGATTAGTAGGACCACATCAACACACAAACGAAAAATATATTGATAAAATTTTAACGGAATGACTAAATTAATATGTGGTAATGAAAGTCAGAGACCAAATTTATTGGTTTTTCAAACTCTTAGACTAAAATGAGGAGTTGGATCAATGTCAGGGATCATTTGCAATAAAACCCCTTATTTTGTGTAATTCACACGTCACCATTTCAGTGGATTTATGGGTCCCACATGCAAACTAACAGAATAGTTGACATAATCTTAATAGTATGACCAAATTGACGTGGGGTAGTGAATGTCAGGGACAACATTGATTGATTTTGAAAGTGAGGGACCAAAATGATGAGTTTAATCAATCTCAGTAACCATTTGTGATAAAAACACTTATTAAAACTCCAAATTTATTTTCTTCATCCAAACATAGTGTTAAACTTTTAATTAACCTAAGGCTACGTTTGGTATACGAAAATAAATTCATGTAAAATAAATTTTTGTATTTTTTTCTAGAGGATGGGAAATTAAAATTTTCTTTAAGGGTTCAGGCTTGCTTGTCTCGCTCTCATATGTTTGATAAATAATGGAAATTTTATTTTTTACTTTTTACATGTCAATGCTTGATTAAATTTTAAGACTTGTAATTTCAGAGTGCATGTATCAATTGTGAGTACATCGTTTCTGAAGTTCAGTTTCATACTGGTTACATATTTTTCAGTGATCAAATCTTTGATCATAGAGAAATTTTCACAACTAACACATCATATAAATCCCTACATGGCTACCACTAACAACTACCACAAACACGAATGACAAATAATACAAATACGACACAAAGACAATAGACACGACATATTGGCACCAAATGTCCACACAAAACCATCGTTGAAACAAGTGAGGCTAAATCAACCATTGCTAAAACAACAAGGCCAAAAAATTGCTGAAGCAACCACAAAACAATAAATTAGCTAATCCGAGAATGATATTGGGTTTTTCCAGCACATGATGAGTTCTCCTAAGTCTATGAGGAATCATATTATTAGAAGATTAAGGTGTTTTCTCAATTAAAGTTGTTTTCCCAATTGGAGTGGGTTTCCTAATTGGAGTTGGTTTCTCAATTGGAGAATGACTAATAACTAGATTCCAATTAGGATTAGTAATCCTTATTGAAGAAGAGCTTTATTATGTATATATAAAAGGACTATTGCACTAGTTTTGAATTGGAGCAAAATGATAAGTTTTATACCACTCAAGGAGTTAAAAGTGAGAGGAAATTGTGATGACAAAGTGTGTGCGAGAGAAGAAAATAGATAGGAGTTTGTATATTCTTAGTCTTGTTTTTTCAAGTTTTTTTTCAAGTCTTAATCCTAGAGGCTTGTCAAAATTATTCGTTGTACTCCTTCTTTATATAGAGAAATATTATTGTTGCTGCCCCGTGGATGTAAAAGCATAACCGACCGTGTAAATTCTTGGTGTTACTTGTCTTAATTATTTGTTTTTTATTTCAGAGTTTGTTCATTTATCCCATTCTTAAACTCGATATTGATAACGAATGAAACCACAAATCAGTTCATCTTCATACCGAGGGCTACACCTCTTCTAGAAAGATTTGTCACCTCCATCAATAGGACACCAAAGATCTGTATGGCGGCTCAGCCGAGGGTTGGCCGAGAAGCGCACAACCACTAGGGAAATCGAGTCGTAGGAGGTAGATCCGACCAACCAGAACCACAATTCTTACCCACAACCACGAATCAAGGCCAAATTCGAAGGCATACCGGATTTGGAAAGAAGACTCCAAAAAACTTTGGAGGGTTGTATGCCAAAAGGTGGAAGAGAGGATGAGAGAGAGAGGGGGGGTGGGGGAGGGGGAAGGGAATGCTAGGTAGCACCAAGGAGGGCGCCTGAGGCGAGGGCAAAGGAACAGAAAGGGGAAATGGAAACAAAGGCGATGTGCGGGGCAAAAGGAGGGAGAGCAGCGACGCGGTGGCAGAGAGGGGAAGAAGAGACGGGAGGAAGGACTATAAGAGGGTCGAAAGGGCTGCCATCGGCCCCAAGTTGATTGGCGGCTGTGATGCTTTGAGATCCAGGATTTTTGGAGAAGAAAGGTTAGAGACCAGCGGCTGTGATAGAGGAGAGAGAAATCGGAATCAGACTCAGCCGTTTCAAAAAAAAACAATTATTAATGCAATCATATAGTTTCCCACGTTGTTTTCGACCGTTGGTTAATTTTTCAGCCCACCGAACTCGAGCAACGTAAACCTGCCGCCCACCGTTTGCTGCTCAAATGACCTAAATACCCTCACGGATTCTTCACAGAATCCCTCAGGTGGGTAAGGTCAGTTTCGTCAATCCAGAACATAGAATGAGAATATTTGAGGTCAGTCCAAGTAGACAGTGCGAGTGTCGCCCAACTACAAAGCTCTGCAGTCTCTCTGCTCCTTGCTTTGTGACTCGGGCCGGCGTCGTTCCTCATGGACGATTCGCTAGTCGCGGAGAGCTTTGACTCGCTCTGGTTCTTCGGCAACGTCTTCTCGTCCAAACCCATGTCGCCGGTTGCTCAAAATCGGCGAACGGAGCCGCCGCCAAGGGCTGAGATTTCGACTCCAATGTGCCCCAAATGCGACGAACCAGAAATTGTGGAGCCAGATTCCATGGAATTGGTGGTGGAATATTATGATTCCGCAAGTCAAAGGTCAACGGAGAAGGCAAAGAGGAGGAGGAGGAGGAGGAGGGGTCTGCAGAGAAAGAGGAAGATCCTTGGAGAGCTAGATACATTGGGTCTTGATGATCGTGCCGAGGAAGTAGGTTATGGGAATTCTTGGTCATTTAATCGGACGACTGAGGGGAATTGTGGGTTTAACAATCAGAGGTTTGGAGAACATCAGAATGCAAGTTATGGGATGCCTTCAATCAGTGATAATATGGCAATGAAAGAGCACCTTAAGTCATGGGCTTGTGCTGTTGCTTCCACTGTCAGATAAATTTTGTCACGGCCGTTTGATAACCATTTCGTTTTTAGACTCTCTAATTGCTAATTGCAGACTTCAACATAATTTCATATGTGACTGATTAAGTTGTTTGATTTGGGCATTCCTTTGACAATGTAATGGTTCTGATATGTGATTAAGGTTGTACTAATTTGATTCCAATTTAATTATGAATTTTATTGTTGCTTCTTCTTCCTTCTTATTCTTCTGCATCATCTGTCATTCCTTGATTAAACAAATTAGTTCTGTGTCAGTCTGTCAGGACGCTATCGATAACATGTCAGTAAGTTTTAATCTAATGGCAATGACATCATTACAATATCGATAACATATTGACAAAGAACATGGTTGGCTGCTCCTTTCCTTGAAAACAACCCTAGATTCGTGTTAATCACATTCTAACATGCGTGCAAAATTTAACATTCGAAGCAATGTATTTGGTCCTATCTATTAATCGTTCTTAAAACAGATGTTCGTTCCATAATCGAACTATCACCCGAAGATTCTATTTAATATGCAACAAATAGATCGTCCTTTTCTTGTGAAACGATACTTTTTTAGCAAGCAAGCAGCTTTGGGTGTCAGCTTCCTCTGGTACACAAGTTAAATGCCAAAGCTTTGGCTTATTTAGAAGCACTTTTGAGAAACTCCGTCACTAAAAATCCAAAGTACAGTCACAGGGTAATTTCTGTTCAACAAATCTTGTCGATTTTATGCAGATACCTTTTGAGTTCACGTGTGCTTAGAAAAAAGAAAGGGTTCACATGCATAATGCTGTTGCAATTGAATATATTCCACCGGAGAAGATTTTGTCCCACAAGGAAATGCAATTTCTACCTCAAATTTTTTTTTTTAATCTTTTAGTTTGGGAGGTGATTTGAACTTGTATTATTTCTTTTTTTTCTTCGGTTAATTTATTATGTGTGGGCGGCTGACTAGCATTGCTTTCAGGATGAAAAGTACCATAGTTTAAACTTTAAAGGTGGGAGGCAATGCGTCGTGTTTATGCTTTAGTTGTGTTAATTGTGTCTTATATTCATGCAAGTTTCGAGTCGTATAACGTATTGTGCCTAAAATTGTCGTGTTGTTAAAGGCGGTGTTGGTTAAACAGAGGGCTTTAAGGATGAAACGTTTTCAGTTGCCATAACTGGAAGTATTACTACACTAATTATGTTAAAATTGGGTTAATGACCAGTTTTTAATTTTTTGTTTCACCAGTTCAACGAGTTTTCTAACTTCAACTTTGCTCTTGGGTATTGGAATTTGGACTGGGCTGGGCCCAAGTGTCTGAAAAATGGGCTGGGCTTGAATGGCGGCAAACTTTACCCAACCCAAGAGAGCAGCAGCACGGCCAACACCGCGCACGCCGAACGAAAGACCAAACCAAAACGAAGAGAGTGACAAAGGTAAAGGAGGAGATGGCGGACCCGAAACCAAGGCGACTGAAGGGTCACAAGGCCACCGCCACGTGCTGCATCGCCTCAGCCGCTACACCCGGCCTCGTCGCCACCTCCGGCGAGGTATGGTTGTGGAGGAAATTTCAAATTTGAAAACTCAACATTCTGTGGCGTTTGCATGTTTTTGGGAAATTGGGTTTTTGGTATTGAAATGGAAAAATCAAAACTTTGTAGGATGGCTGCGTTTGCTGGTTCGATATGCGATGCAAAGATGCGATTGATATTATGGAGGTGGGAGAGGAACCCATTTCATCCTTATGTTTCAGGCCGGGTAAAATGTTTAACCAAGTTCTTAGTATTTGAGTTTTTTAGAGTGAAAATTTAGGAAATTTATTCTTGTGGGTTGAATCAGGAAATGAAAATATGATATATGTTGCATCCGGGAAGCAAGTCAAGAGCTTTGATGTCCGTCTGGTAATCATCAACTCTCCCCTCTCACTCTATGTTTTCGTGTTTTCGATATTTTTACTTGTTGAATGTTTAGAGTTTGTCATTCCATTTTCAAGGGGAGTTCATGCTCGTGGAAGCCCCTGGAGAGCTTTGATTATAACAAAGAAGAGATAAATCAGGTATTGGAGTTGAGGTAGACATTGTTTCAAATTCGATTGCTTACTTTGAGTTCAGGTGCCCCATTTCTGGAGCTTATTTGTATGTATGTTTGTGATTGCAGATTGCATGCAGCTCTAAGTCCTCTTTTCTTGCTGCTCCCGATGACGGCGGTGAAATTAAGGTCCCTACTGATTTTTCCCGTTCATATGTAATTGAATGTCTATCTCATAAGCGGCTGACTGTAATCATTGTGGCAGATTATTGACATTCGCCAGAAACGAATTTACAAAACATTAAGAGATGGCCATACAAGTGTATCCTTTTTTCTGTTGTAGATAATTCAAGCACTTCCATTTTTGCTTCTTCTACAAAGAATGTGACTCAGCGTCGGATTTTGAACAAAATATTGTGCTGCATATCTTTTCATTTTCCTTCTTTCTTTTGTTAAATTTCAACTGCTTAGTTCCCAGCATGATCTGTTCCTTTGAAGTTTTTGCTATCCTACCCACGCAATTCTATCACCTTAACTATACACTGTAGATTTGTAGCACCGTGCAATTCCTTCCTTGGAAACCTTGGGAAGGTATGTCTGCAGGATTTCATTTGCTCTCTATCCTTCTTGGTTGGGCTTTCTTCCATCATGGATTTTTGTTTTCAATTTATAAACTGGAGAGAAGAGTCATTCAAATCCTTTGGTGCACCCAAGCATACTCTATGTTTGCAACAAAGTGGAAAGAAACAAAAAATAATACATCTTTACCATAAATTAAAGTTAATAGTTACATTCACTTTAAGAGAACAACAAAATATGTGTACCTGAATTGATAATGTTAGTTGGCACTAGTTGGATGGAAGGAATTAAAGGCTTCCGTTAAGCATTTTTAATCCAGAATAGGGCTTTCAACCGGAACTTTGAGGGCCTCTTATCATGTTTTGGTGCTGTGCTAATATATTATACAAAAATCTTAGGATTTACTTGAACAAGGCACATGGAGCATACATGGCATATGAGTGTGATTGTGTGGGTTTGTTTGTTGAAGAATCCAGTAAAATCTCATCTTATTCTACTCACAGATAATTGACTACCAACTTCTATCTTGGGGTATCTTGGACAGTTATCACGGGAGGTCTTGATTCAAAGCTTGTAATGTGGGATTTCTCCAAGGGGCGCCCGAACAAAATTATGAATTTTGGTAAAACTTCTATCTTTTTTAATCTACAACTTTCTCTTCCTTAATTTGTTGCTTTCTGTATCCCTTATGACAGTAAATCAAAATTGGAATTGGTTCCAGGCCTATCACTCACTTAGGAAATCGTAGGCACATGAACCCTTCCTAACCATTTCTCTTGCCTTGCCACTGGCCAGTGCCTGGCGCAAAATATGATTTTTTTTTTTGTTCATTTTTATTTCATACTCGTCCTCCTTTCAACATGTTGATGCACTTTATTTCGTTTCTACTAAAATGATCATTTTGATGATTTTTTTTTGAAGAACATATAAATTTAAAATCATTGCGGGTCAGTGGTTGGATTGATTTTTTATACAATTCGTGCTTGCTGTTTTTCACTGCAGATTTGCCTGATGCAAATAATGGCGAGGCCAAGGAACAGTGTTTTAATCCTGCTTTTGTTCATTCAATAGCAGTTCCAGAAATGGATATGTTAGACAAATCAGACAAGGTTTGCATTGTGGCTAGGGGTGATGGTGCAGTTGATGTAATTAATATAGAAGCTGAACTTGCTCCCTTGAGGTCACAAGGTTCTAAAAAACCTCAGAAAGGATCTCAATCAAGATCGAAAGGTACTGATCTAGAAAACCCAGATCGAGAAGGAAGGAAAAGGTTGCATTTGGATTACTTATCCGGCGGTCACACTGCTGCTGTCTCTTGTGTGTAAGTAATAGACTTAAATGCAGTTCAAGGAAACCTAATTCACACATTGACTAGTACATGTTATTCAGGGCATTTTCGTTATTTGGAGATAGAGGAAGATTTATAATATCAGGTGGAAATGATAAGTTGGTAAAGGTCTGGGATTGGACCAAGTGTCTTGATGAAGGTAGCAGCAGCGATCTTCTACAGTTGAATATCAACCACAGCAAAAAAGTGAGTTACCATTGCTTTACCACCTCTTTCCTTTTCATTTTATCTGAAGCTTCTCATCATGAAATTGATTGCCTTGGCAGGTCAACTGGCTCTGTACCACTCCGGCTGATACGGAAAACCTAGTTGTTTGTGATACAACAAAGGTGGTAAAGGTTTATTCTGTTGCCTAGATTAAAGCCGCGCAATCAATGACTGGCAAACTCGTTCCCAGATATCTGAAAACTTGTTTACTCTCTGCGTATTGTGCCTTGATCTGCAAATCCTGAATCGCCATAATCAGCTTGCTGCACTTGACCCGGCAACCTTCTGCTTTGGGTCTCACCCTGTATTCGATGACCTGTAGACGTTTCCTATGTGTAAGTTGGGAAGTCAGATGCTAGTCTTTAACTCTATCATGTCACTGCCGGTATCACATGTTTGTTGTTTTGTTTTTTGGAGTTGGTTGGTATGCAATATCACATACCGTTGTACTCCATAATATGATAATATTGTTGAGGCGATGTTGACTCAATACCTTGTGTGTCACCAAGTGACTTCTGTGGAACGGGTTCATTTTCAGCGTCACGTACATGGCTTAGTACAAGTTTATGCAGAAGGGAGTTTTAGACATGAGTCATGACCTTGCATTAGTGATTCAGAACACCATGGTAAGTGGCATTGCATGCAAGTTTTTTCTCATAACACTACCTTTCGAAGTACTTGGCTAATTCTTATACGCCTCACAAGTAGAAAGGAGAAGGATGTACTTGAGAACCTTTACACAATAAACCTGCAGGTTGAAGACCAACTTTGTAATGTATTAATTTTGAAATTGTCACCGAATAGGAAGTTGCATGTTTCTATCCGACTTTTGGTAATTTTGTTTTCTCGTCTCTTCCAAAGTGGAGATATGTTCCTAACTCTTTCATAATCATAAACGTGTGATACAATTCAATTTTTTTTTTTTAACAAACGATAGTGTTAGGTTAAATTGTTGGTTATTCATCAGTGGAAGCCAAATTTGCACCAGAGTGCATATGAATGGTTGTTTACAGTCACTGCGGTAAAGCATCATCTGCCAAAAGTTTGAAATAACACAAATTTGAACGCTTGTGATTAATACAAAGTACACGAAGATTCCTGGTTAATTTCCTAAAGGTAGGGTAAGTAAAAGCCGTAATTAGTCTTTAACGTAATTACCAAAGCCATTTTATAAGGCATGCTTGTAGGGCCTTTATTTTGCCAGGTATAGGTAAAAGACACAACTCCAGTCCACCTCGTTTGTTCTGAGGTTTTTGGTGGGTTCAAGGATGTAACTTGCCCAACCGAAACCTTCCTTGCACTTCCCGCAAAAATTTCAAATCTCATTCCTTTTGGCAAAATCAAAGGAAAAGCAATGCGTAGCTTAAGCTGCCCACCACCCTCTCTCTCTCTTTCTCTCTCTCTCTCTCTCTCTGTGCAAAAACAATGACACCAACACCCCAACTTCCACACCCTTCCAACCACCACACTCCATCCACCTCGTCCTTCTCACCATTGCAGAAATGGGGTTTGGGCATTTCGTATAAGACCAGCAACAAGTCCCAGACTGGCAAGTGGAATGAAACCCCCTCTTCCAAGGATCATTTGGAATTTTGGGTTTCTCTGGAAATTGAGGAAAGGCTTCGACTTTGTCGAAAATGATGCAGTCCGTTGCTCCTCTATGCAATGCCTGCGGCGAGCAGGTGGGGCTTGATGCTAATGGGGAGATTTTCGTGGCGTGCCACGAGTGTAATTTCCCCGTTTGCAAGGCTTGTTTTGATGATGATGTCAAGGCCGGGCGTAAATTTTGCTTAAAGTGTGGCATTCCCTATGACGGTATGTGTTGTTCTTGGATTTCTCTGAACCATGTCTGTGTTTTCAGATGCTTTGGTATATGTCTACATTTGTTATTTGCTTATATTGGCAACATTCTGTGATAATTGTACTTATTTGCACATGAAATTGGAAATTATGTACCCTTTAAATTTATAGAAATAGTTTGGTTGATCACATTATAACAAAATCTTTAGGATACTGATTAAGTTCCCACGCACGCACTTGATGATGGATTAAGATCGAACTTTCTCTTTCTCTTAAGCTGATTTGGGCAAGTTCATCGTGTGCGTTTGCATATTCAAAGTTCAGTTCGTCTATGTACTATTTGGATTTTGGAAATGATGTGAGGAGAGTAATGAAACCAAATGTGCATATAGGTGAAATACCGTTCTGAAATTGAGTCCTTTTGAGTTTCGGAGAGAGATTGAAAAAGGGCTCATTTTTTGGTCTTGATTGATAATGTGACATTTATCATTTATACGGCTCGTTACATAATCAAATTTGTGATTCTCATGATTCCTAAGCTATGATATTGGCTGTTAAATTCTTCAGATAGCTCGTTGGCGGACTATGAAACAAAGGTGTCTGGCACTCGATCCACAATGGAAGCTCACCTGAATAGTTCTCAGGTACAAATGTGTATCTACAATGCTGTAACTTATAGATAGTCTATGTGAAATGAGATGAGTGAAGATTCTTACAGTATGCTACATACTTGTTTCAGCAGGATACCGGAATTCATGCTAGGCATATCAGCAGTGTGTCTACACTGGATAGTGGTGAGTCGTACTTCTTTTCCTTACATGATTTTTGCCCCCTTGTCTCATTTTTACCAATTTGCATTTTTTTTTTGTGATCCTTGAAGAATTAAACGACGACTATGGCAATCCAATTTGGAAGAACAGAGTGGAGAGTTGGAAGGATAAGAAGGATAAAAAGAGCAAGAAGAAAAAGGATGCGCCTAAGGTGGAAAAAGAGGCTCAAATTCCACCTGAGCAGCAGATGACAGGGGAATAGTAAGTACAACTAAAACTTGGGTTTATGTAGAGGACACTCTAAAACAGAAATGATAAAGCAGTTTCAAACATGTAAGGGCCTTGCGGTGCTAGTTTTCTGATTAGGCTCCGTGTTTTTGAGTCTTTTCCATATCGCTGTTGTCTATGTCATGCAAAGGTTCAGGTGTTCATGAAAGGAAAAATTGTTTTTGGCTTAGACAAGATGACTTTTACTCGTATGCTGTTATTTCATGTTGGGATGGTGTTCTAAGGCCATTATAGTTATCCTGCGATTCCAAATATGGGACACGAAAGAGTAGGAAAAATGCATATCAGTATCCTAACAGTGCTTCATAAACACGGTTAATGAAATGATTAAAAGCATGTTAATATTTTGGGAAGTTTCAGTGTAATTTTCAGAAGAAAAAGGTCGAATATTACGCATGTATGAATTTGGATGTGTTTGGACTTCGGATCATATCCATTACATAACATTTGAGGCTTTCTTTTTTCGCAAACTAGTGTGTTAATTGAATTATGGCCTTCTGTGCAGTTCATCAGAGGCTGCGGAACCACTTTCAACTGTCGTTCCACTTCCACCAAACAGAATCACACCATACAGAATTGTAATAATTATGCGATTGATCATTCTTGCCCTTTTCTTCCATTATCGAGTAACAAATCCTGTTGATAGCGCTTATGGTCTATGGTTCACTTCTATCATATGTGAGATCTGGTTCGCTTTTTCTTGGGTGCTGGATCAGTTTCCCAAGTGGTCTCCAGTTAATCGGATTACATTTACTGATAGGTTATCTGCCAGGTATGCATCTTCAAATGATTTTTCTTTGCTTTAAGCTGGTTACCAAAATTAGTTATCGATGTTTCGAATCTTAATTTCATGCTCACTGGAAGATTATGAAAAGAAAGTATGAACAGAAAGTCTGTGTTGTTAAAAACTGTTAACCAGTGAAGAGGAAGAAACAAATGACCCTAATTTCTGAATTGGATTCTAAACATAATCTTAAGTTTTCGCAATGGATGTACGTATGAAATGGTTGTATAAACTTCTATGCCAGGTTTGAAAGAGAGGGTGAACCCTCCGAGCTTGCTGCAGTGGATTTCTTCGTGAGTACAGTTGATCCGTTGAAAGAACCGCCCCTGATCACTGCCAATACCGTGCTTTCTATCCTTGCCGTAGACTACCCCGTGGATAAAGTTTCCTGCTATGTGTCTGATGATGGTGCTGCCATGCTTACTTTTGAATCTCTTGCCGAGACATCTGAATTTGCAAGGAAGTGGGTACCATTCTGCAAGAATTTTTCGATTGAACCACGTGCACCTGAGTTTTACTTCTCACAAAAGATTGACTACTTGAAGGATAAAGTGCAACCATCTTTTGTGAAGGAGCGCAGAGCGATGAAAGTAAGTACCTAATGGCCGAAGCTTCTTCTAGTTGCAACTGAATATTCACTCATGATCATTTGATATCAAAACTAAATGGAAGCAAACGTGCTAATTGTTTGTCTATTTATCAGAAAGCTTTCATTACTAACCACTTCATAATTTGTTTGCAGAGAGATTATGAAGAATTCAAAGTGCGAATGAATGCTTTAGTTGCAAAGGCTCAAAAAACACCAGAAGAAGGATGGACTATGCAAGACGGAACACCTTGGCCAGGAAATAACCCACGGGACCATCCCGGAATGATTCAGGTAGACAGATACCCTATTGATCCCTATATTTTTTGATGATCTAAACAAAATGTGTCAAAGTCTGCGTACGGTTCATTTGAGCACTCTGTTCATAACTTCATATGGAAAAATATACTGTTTCTTCATCGTTTTGTAAATAATTAATTTTGAAATATACTCCTTGTTTACCCTTCTCAGGTTTTCCTTGGACACAGTGGCGCTTATGACATCGAGGGAAATGAACTTCCTCGATTGGTTTACGTCTCGAGAGAGAAGAGACCCGGCTATCCACATCACAAGAAAGCTGGTGCCGAAAATGCACTGGTATAAATACATGCTTTTAGAGTGATAAATTAATACCCCATGATTTGGTATATATAAATGCTTAACTTGATTGATTGGATTGATGCAGGTAAGGGTGTCTGCAGTTCTCACAAATGCCCCATACATCCTCAATCTTGACTGCGATCACTACGTTAACAACAGCCAGGCAATTCGTGAGGCAATGTGTTTCTTGATGGACCCGCAAGTTGGTCGAGAAGTATGCTATGTGCAGTTTCCTCAGAGGTTCGATGGCATTGATCGCAGTGATCGATATGCCAACCGCAACACAGTTTTCTTTGATGTGAGTTTAAAGCTATCATACATATCTCGACATTTTGACAGTAACCTTACATTTCATGCACAATCGAAACGAATTAGTAAAGTTTTGAATCTCTCAATCTCAATTTGCAGGTTAACATGAAAGGACTGGATGGAATTCAAGGTCCAGTATATGTGGGGACAGGATGTTGTTTCAATAGGCAAGCACTTTACGGCTACGGTCCTCCTTCTATGCCCACCTTACCCAAGGCTGCTTCCTCATCCTCCTGCTCATGGTGTGGTTGCTGCCCCTCTAAGAAGCCGTCGAAAGATCTGTCAGAGGCTTACCGAGATGCAAAACGCGAGGAGCTTGATGCTGCCATATTCAACCTCCGGGAGATTGAGAGTACGTATCTAATCACTCGTTGAAACTGGATTTAGACAAAGTTGAGCTTTCGGTATATAAATTATTTGCGCTTTTTGATGCAGACTATGATGAGTTTGAGAGGTCAATGTTGATCTCGCAGACGAGCTTTGAGAAAACTTTTGGGTTATCATCCGTATTCATAGAGTCTACATTAATGGAGAACGGAGGAGTGGCCGAATCTTCCAACCCATCAACGTTGATCAAGGAGGCAATTCATGTCATTAGCTGCGGTTATGAAGAGAAGACCGCGTGGGGAAAAGAAGTAGGATTCTACTTTAATTTTTGTAGAAGTATTTGATGTAAACGAATTATGGCTTCCATTAATAACCACCGTGTTCTTCTATCCAAATGGTTTACATTCTCTTTTTCCACAGATTGGTTGGATATATGGATCAATCACGGAGGATATCTTAACTGGTTTCAAGATGCATTGCCGTGGATGGAGGTCAATTTACTGCATGCCCTTGAGGCCTGCATTCAAAGGGTCAGCTCCCATTAACCTTTCTGATCGACTGCACCAAGTTCTTCGGTGGGCACTTGGTTCGGTGGAAATTTTCCTCAGTAGACATTGTCCTCTCTGGTATGGATTTGCAGGAGGCCGCCTCAAACTGCTTCAGAGAATGGCATATATCAACACCATTGTTTACCCCTTCACATCCCTCCCTCTCGTCGCTTACTGTACACTCCCTGCAATATGCCTTCTCACGGGAAAATTCATCATCCCAACAGTAAGTTTTTTCTACCTTCATTGTCTTAAGACAGACAGACATAATAAAATGCCTCTCGCACGTGCAGAAAGGCTAGCACATCGATAATCTTGAACTTTAGAATTGTTGAATGTGTTTCTTGATATTCAAGAAACTTGGCCACTGCATTAATCAAGTTAAGAATAATTCTTTTGATCTTTGATTCAGCTTACAAACCTGGCAAGTGCCCTGTTTCTTGGCCTCTTCATCTCCATCATTGCTACAAGTGTGCTCGAGTTGCGGTGGAGTGGAGTCCGCATTGAGGATTTATGGCGTAACGAGCAGTTCTGGGTGATCGGAGGTGTTTCAGCCCATCTCTTCGCCGTCTTCCAAGGTTTCTTAAAGATGTTGGCCGGAATTGACACCAACTTCACCGTCACAACCAAATCAGCCGAGGACACAGAATTTGGAGAGCTCTATCTGATCAAATGGACCACACTTTTGATTCCCCCCACTACACTCCTCATTGTCAACATGGTTGGTGTTGTAGCTGGATTTTCGGATGCCCTTAACAAGGGATACGAAGCTTGGGGGCCACTTTTCGGGAAGGTTTTCTTCGCCTTCTGGGTGATTCTTCATCTCTATCCCTTCCTCAAAGGTCTCATGGGACGCCAAAACCGGACTCCAACCATCGTTATTTTGTGGTCAGTGCTCTTGGCCTCTGTCTTCTCTCTTGTTTGGGTGAAGATAAATCCCTTTGTGAGCAAAGTGGACAGCTCAACGCTTGCTCAAAGCTGCATTTCCATAGACTGCTGAGACATTACCTGAAAGTTTTCCACGATTTTGAATTCGTTATAGTTTGAATGCGAGGAAAAACTCGATTTCTGGGAATCACAAGTGAGTTCTTTGTAGCTTAGAAAGATTTGTAATGATTTTTTTTCCTTTTTCTTTTGGATTTTGACAATCAGTGTGTAAAGATTTAATCATTGCTGTCCTACAATATCAGTGTAAGAAGATGTTGTAACTGTCCCTTCCAATTCCACAACCTAAATCTTTACATAACATGTATAATTCCCAATAGTAAACTACAAACTATTTCTCGAAATTTTCGGTTCAACAAAACCAATCAAAACTGAACCACCAATTCAAATTAAACTTCAAAGTGTTTAGGGAATAGGGAGTGGGACTACAACTCTGTATTCGAGTGTAAGTATAATTCTTGAGCTTCGGAGGTGGCCATGGTTTCCGACTTTTCAGTTGTATCTTACCATCTTGTACGTTTGGTTCGGTACTCTTTGTGTTGTCGTTTAATTCAAAGGTTATTCTGAACTTTTGTATGGACAATTGGTTAGGCTTAAGGCTTGTTGGACTTGTTTTTAAAATGATTAAAAACGTTTTTTATTGATTTTGGATTCTAAAATCATTGCAAGTGCTTTTTAGAAGAAACATCATATATGTGCTTCTTGTCGGAAACACTTCAAGTGCTTTTCTAGGATCTACTTGAATTTTTAACAAGAATTGATTTCAAAAATATTTTTACTAAAAGAGCTTTTAGTCGCTTTAATGCATTTCCAAACGATAGAAATGAAAAAAAATTGGCTAAAATTATCAAGATGGTTTACAGACACATGAGGACTTGTTTCATCTGGATTATGGCCACCATCGTATGAATCACAATGTTCACCTTTTTAAAAACTGGTAAAGACTCACAAAGACATTTCAAATTCATCTAACCACCATCGTATTAATCACTAATCTAGGAATCGAAACTAAGTGTGACCCTTTCAACCACCCTAATATTCTAAAATAAAATTGGAAGGAAAACAAAAAACCCAACCACTCTTATTACTGTGGGCCTTGTTTGGGTCAAAATCCACATTTAGCAAATTTAATTGGGCCAAAAGCCCAAAACCAGTGTTAGGTCTATTACGCTCAAGCCTCTTCACACTTGGAGAAGTATAAATACTCCCACATTTGGTCACATATCATTTTACCTCTCTCTCACGACTCGCACCTCCACAATCTCAATCTCTCAATTTCCGAAAATCAGTGAGTTTCTCAATCCCTAATCATTTCGTACTAGCCGTTTGAATGTTTGAATTAGTTGCTGTTCGTTTTGCACGTTTCTTGATGGATTCCGTGTATTTTCCTAAAAAATTAGCTTAATTTCTTGTGAATTTGAATGCAAGTAGCTAGCATAATGTGATCGATTCCGTTGTTTGTTGAGCTTCTGGTAGATCGTAGAGTTGATTGAATTTTGAGCTCCATTCCGAGTATTTTCCAGGAAATTTTGCTTATTTTCTGCAATCGATATTTTTTTTTTGGCTTGCTGAGCCTAATGTTGAGCTTCTGGTAGGTTGTAGATTCGCTTGAATTTTGAACTCCATTCTGTTCATCTTGTAGCTCGCTGTTCAAAATTACTCTGTTAATCTCTAAATTCATGTTTTCTAATGTGCTATTGTTCCCATTTGCAACTTTTTTTTTTATTCAAATTTAGGCGAGAGTTATGTTTTGGCTAGTTCCTTTGGTTATCGTTTCGATTTGACCCTTTACTTATCATCTGATTAATTGTTGCTGCTTAAGATCATACTTTGTTCTGTCACTGGATTCTCGTAATGAAAAAAGTTCACAGCAGTCAACAATTTCTACACTAATTTGAGGTGTATTATGTTTAGCTTTGCTCTGATATACTGATCATTACAATGTTTCGTAGGTTGAAGCTCATAGTTTTCTCAGGCCTCTTTAAATTTTTATTATAAGAGTGTCAATTTGGTGGTCTGCTAACATGGCGCTAGTTTAATGTTTTGGAACAGCAGGAAACAAAGCTGCAGCACCATTGGGATTAATGACGGCACGTTATCAGCAATTGGTTATGCAAGGGCTTGCACCTCCACAAATCATCAACAATGCCGGCATAGCATTGGATGTTAGATCAGCTATAACGTAAGCTGATTGATGTACTATTGAGGCACCTATTTTTTTTTTATATATCTTTTAGAACGTCCCTTAATTATATAATCTATACTTTGGAATGCAGGAATGGTTTCCTGATTGATGTACCATTTGTACATTCTTCGAAATATCAATAGTATATCGCATTCCCTGCTCCACTGGCGGTGGAGGGAATGCCGAAACTTCTTCTGCTGAATTCCCTACTTCTATTATGTCATAATTTCTTATTCCAAGCACACGGCCCAATTGTATATCCCTTCCGAGCCAGTAAACATGTGATAAAAGAGTCAATCTGTCTATGGGAAAGTCAGGTGTCAGTTGAAGCACTGCTACCAGGTTCCTACCACTGGACAAGGATTGTCTGCCCTCCCACTTCCAGTGACCTTCTGTGCCCTCTTATTTGTGTGGTCACGGTTAAGTCACGTCAACATTTTATATTACTATTCATTTTTGTCTTATTATCTCTATAAAAAAAAACAATATAAAATTTTGACGTGACTTAACCGTGATCACACAAAATAAGAGAGCACGGGAGGGTACCGAAAGTGGGAAGGCAGACAATCCTTGTCCAGTGGTAGGAACCTGGCAGCAGTGCTTCAACTGCCACCTGACTTTCCCATAGACAGATTGACTCTGTTATCACATGGTTACTGGCTCGGAAGGGATATGCAATTGGGCCATATGCCTGGAATAAGAAATTATGACATAATAGAAGTAGGGAATTCAGCAAAAGAAGTTCCGTCATTCCCTCCACCGCCAGTGGTGCAGGGAATGTGATATACTGTTGATATTGATATTTCGAAGAAGAGTGTACAAATTGTACATCAATCAGGAAACCATTCTTGCATTCCAAAGTATAGATTATATAATTAAGGGACGTTCTAAAAGATATATATAAAAAAAAATAGATGCCTTAATGGTACATCAATCACCTTACGTTATAGCTGATCTAACATCCAATGCTATGCCGGCATTGTTGATGATTTGTGGAGGTGCAAGCCCCTGCATAACCAATTGCTGATAACGTGCCGCCATTAATCCCAAATGGTGCGGCAGCTTTGTTTCCTACTGTTCCAAAACATTAAACTAGCGCCATGTTAGCAGACCACCAAATTGACACTCTTATAATAAAAATTTAAAGAGGCCTAAGAAAACTATGAGACCACCAAATCTTGGCAAATATAAGAATCATCCTATTTAGTTCACTTCTTCATAAGGGGTAATCTTATATAAAAGAACTTGAAACAAATTCAAGGTACAGCAGCATCAAATACTAAGCATTAGTCTACTCCACGAAATTCAGTATTATATGTATGTAACACTATCACAATAAAGGAGTTAAACTGAAGAATGAAATACAAAAATTCACCCATATATATACAAAACCCATCAACGAAAAAGAGGGGTTTAGAAGAATACTCAATCTCACGAATAGACCCAAATCCTAGACTCAAGACGCAAAGAGAAATATTTAGAAAATTTTTAGACAACAACTCTCACAGAAAAACAACAACGTTTTGGGACGACAACCCTCACAAAAAGAGAACATCGTTTGACGGCGAGAGAGCACAAAGCAAAACAAAAACGAAAGTTAAAACAAAGAAAGATGCAGTCAAACGAAGCGGGAAGCAACAGAGCAAATTTCCGAGAGAACACGAACCCATCACTGATATTAAAATTATTTTTGGGTAAATTGGGTATGACTGAGGGTACTGACCTTCTCCGGGCATCTCGTGTTCGAAATTGGAAGAGTTTAAGATGTGATTTTGGTGGAAAATGGGCAGCGCTGCAGAGAGAAAAAAGCAAGTCCATGTTTCTGTGGAATCCAAATTGCAGAAATCAAACGATGTAGATGAGGATTTTGAAGATTCTGAATCTAAGAAAGAGAGGAGAAATTTACCTTTGGGGAAGAGTGGTGGCCGCTGCTGCTGAAACTGAAAAGATTTTGGCAAATAAGTTGAGAAGGAAGACAGTGGGAGTTGGCAACTCAGAATTTCAGCCAAACATAAAGAGAATATGAAGAAAGAAATAGTTGTGTAAGATGCTGAAAAGAAAAACAGGGAACAATGGGGTTTTACCTGAGGACTCGAGCTGGACTCTGAGATGTAGACCTCCCTCTCCCTTCCTCTCCCTGACATTCCACACCCTCCCCCCTTCTCCATCTGTAACTAATCCAGCTCAAAGAAAATGTAACGTTTGCATGTATATCACTAATTGTAACGTTTAAATAAATACACAATCAAACGTTTACTTAATCAAACGTTTAAATAAATGGTTGCGAATGACCTCACTGTTAAAGAGTAAATTCATAAGAACTTACCATGCACTTGAGCATTTTTCAACATTCCATTAAGCACAAACAAAATGTAATCAACACGTAGATGAGATAAGACATGTTTAGGTGTTAAGCCAAATGCAAGAAGTCAACCTTGACAACTCATCATTTCTTATACTTTGGACTCAGCGTTGGAAACTTGTCTACCAGGCATAACATCTGAAACATTATTTATTCATATGAATGTGAGAATGATTACTTTCAATGGCATTCCATCTAGAATTGTAAAGGGGTAATTGAATTCATCCATACTTCACCGTGTTCATGACTTGCAAATTTTCTAAACGACACAATAAATAACAGAGATTAGCAAGAGTTGAATCAAAGGAATCATTAGTGTAAAACTGACAACATGCTTACAAATTCAACTCCGATTGTGCTGATGTAGCTATCCAAGTATGAGTCATCCTGTTCAACGATTCCGAAGCTCAGACAAAAATTGCATGAGAAAATTGAGATTATATGCAATTGTATGTTGAATAACCTTAAGTATAACATATATCCCATATTAAGTGCATACACCTACAAACTAATCTTTATATGTACTTTAAAATAATACAGATCAATGTAATCTAAAACATTGGAAACATTATCATACAATTAAATAATCACGATGCAGAAAATTTTATTTCCATTATTTTCAGATAACTTTTCACCCCACAACACCGAGACAGAAAGCATACCCAAACCAGTAGTGGCGTTCCAACCACTGCGATTTCACAAACTTCTCAGTGGAGGAAGAGAAACACAAAATACACTACTTGACCACTTGTGGCTGAGCTTTTATCGCTCAACCTGTCTTTATCTTTGTGTAGCTCTATGACTGAAATATTATTCATATAAAATTTCATTACAGTATAAAGTATACTAACATAATAACCTTCTAAAAGCAACATCTTTTAAATACATTCCATCAATTGAACATTACCTCCCTGTCTAAGAAAATTGATGACAATCGTAAGCTAAACTATGAAATACCAAATTAAATACAGAAACATCACAATCCCAAACCAAACAAAACCCCAAATCAATTAAAAAAAAATTAGGCCAAAAGAACCCCACACCTAACAAAACCCCATATTCGCTCAAAAAGAGATTTATCTTATTTTAGCAAAATGAATTCCAACTGGCCACAATCAAAGTTGGAAAATCCTTTATGCAGAAACGTGAAAAAGAACAAATCAGAGATGCACTTACACCACAATTCATGATCATTATACAAAATTTGCAAAGCAAACATACAATCAAACAGATACCTCTCTATTTTTCATCTCTCACTCCCTGTTATTTGTATTGTGATAAGGTTTATGATAAACAATGATTTTACCAAAATTTAATAATAAAAAAACATCACAGTAGAAGTTTAACATGAGAGAAAGAGTCAATCTCTACCTTTGATGTGTTGATCCTACCATCCCCTTGCATGCTTGATCTCTACATAAAAATAGAGTTTGGTTGGTGAGAAAATGCAGAGAAAACAAACAAAATTTAATGTAATTCTAAATTTACCAGTATTAACAGAACCAATAACTTAATAACATTTTTACATCATTAATTAGTAGAAAACAATACAAAAATACAGCCCAACAAAATAAACATACCGCATTCATTGCTGAAACAGGGAGCCAACCTCCATGCTGCTGTTGGAATCACTGCAGACGGTTTGTAATTGGATGGATAATGGGATAGTATCTCTTTCACCTAAAACTGAAAAAAATGACACCTTTTAGAACTCAAAAAAACATAAAAATAATCTTGCAAGTGCCAAATAATGGATATAATCAATGCTCGTGGTTTGACAGCTCAATTCAAGAACTTATATAACATCATCATCATATGAATCAGTAAGATCACTTCCTAAAATGCAATAAATAACTTGGGGAAATTTAAACCTTATAGGACAATCCAATTCTAGTAACTCAACTTAGCAACGTGGTTGGAACCCTACACTCTAGTTATGTATAAATTCAAAACTGAGCATGTTTGAATTAAAGGTGCTAAGAAAATCCTAAACCTTTTATACACATCTTTGCTTAAATATAGGGGCTTGTAATGTTTGACATAAATAGCTCAGCCTAAAGCACACATTGACAACCAAATTACACAATCGTTCTCCTTTTTCATCTTTTCACAACTACACGTCTTTCGCCAAAGTTACTGCATTGCATCGCCATTGAATAATATGCTACAAACTAATTAGGCAAATGGGTCGCTGAAATTCACTGCAAAAATGCTCCGCAGAATTATTAATTCCAACAAAATTGATAGAACGGAGTGGAAGTTTGTAAGATCCATTTGCAGGAAGGAAATGGGTGCTCTGTAGAAATTGAAAAGATGGAAAATTGATAGTTCATGATTTTGGTAGTCCAGATTAGATTAGCTTTAGACGCCCTTAACAAGGGATACGAAGCTTGGGGCCACTTTTCGGGAAGGTTTTCTTCGCCTTCTGGGTGATTCTTCATCTCTATCCCTTCCTCAAAGGTCTCATGGGACGCCAAAACCGGACTCCAACCATCGTTATTTTGTGGTCAGTGCTCTTGGCCTCTGTCTTCTCTCTTGTTTGGGTGAAGATAAATCCCTTTGTGAGCAAAGTGGACAGCTCAACGCTTGCTCAAAGCTGCATTTCCATAGACTGCTGAGACATTACCTGAAAGTTTTCCACGATTTTGAATTCGTTATTGTTTGAATGCAAGGAAAAACTCGATTTCTGGGAATCACAAGTGAGTTCTTTGTAGTTTAGAAAGATTTGTTATGATTTTTTTTCCTTTTTCTTTTGGATTTTGACAATCAGTGCGTAAAGATTTAATCATTGCTGTCCTACAATATCAGTGTGAGAAGATGTTGTAATTGTCCCTTCCAATTCCACAACCTAAATCTTTACATAACATGTATAATTCCCAATAGTAAACTACAAAACCAATCAAAACTGAACCACCAATTCAATGCAAAAATTTGTTGTTAAATACTGCAATTAGATGAAGAAAATTCAGACCTGCTCAGAAGGGGATTTCAGTAGCAACATTGGTCACATGGAATTGAGACCTTTTCTTTCCACGAATCCCAATCCCTCCATAAAACTTCCTCCCAGAACTCTTCCCTGCAATGCAAAAACGCAATTCCATTCAAATTAACAGCAATCCACTACCATTGTCCAGCCAAAACCCACATCAAATCTCCCATCAAAACACCAACAACACCAAATTACGAACTGGGTATTTCATATATTCAATCAAATTGCAGAAAACAATCCCAAATCATGGTTCAGATGCTGGAAGAAGAAGTGGGTTTTCTTCTGTTTGGTGGGGAATGATTACCTGGGCATATAGAGAGAGGGAATTGAAGTCCTGGAAGTGCGAGATGAGAGATGTCGAGGGGCCAAAGTTGCTGCTGTCGAGCAACTTCCGAGTACGGACGCCATGGAAGAAGTGTTTAGGGAATAGGGAGTGGGACTACAACTCTGTATTCGAGTGTAAGTATAATTCTTGAGCTTCGGAGGTGGGCATGGTTTCCGACTTTTCAGTTGTATCTTACTATCTTGTACGTTTGGTTCGGTACTCTTTGTGTTGTCGTTTAATTCAAAGGTTATTCTGAACTTTTGTATGGACAATTGGTTAGGCTCAAGGCTCATTGGACTTGTTTTTAAAATGATTAAAAACGTTTTTTATGAAATTGATTTTGGATTTTAAAATCATTGTAAGCATATTTTTTTGGAAGAAATATCATATACGTGCCTCTTATTGGAAACGCTTCAAGTTCTTTTCTAAGATCTACTTGGATTTTTAATAAGAATTGATTTTAAAAATATTTTTACTAAAAGAGCTTTCAGTCGCTTTAATGCATTTCCAAACGATAGAAATGAAAAAAAATTGGCTAAAATTATCAAGATGGTTTACAGACATATGAGGACTTGTTTGTTTCATCTGGAGTTTGGCCACCATCGTATGAATCACGATGTTCACCTTTTTAAAAATTGATAAAGACTCACAAAGACATTTTAAATTCATCTAACCACCATCGTATTAATCACTAAGCTAGGAATCGAAACTAAGTGTGACCCTTTCAACCACCCTAATATTCTAAAATAAAATTGGAAGGAAAACAAAAAACCCAACTACTCTTATTACTGTGGGCCTTTTTTTGGGTCAAAATCCACATTTGGCAGATTTAATTGGGCCAAAAGCCCAAAACCAGTGTTGGCCTATTACGCTCAAGCCTAATCAATTTGCATTTACACTAATCCAGGTTAAAGAGCGCGCTAATCCGTCACAGTGATCCATCCCGCCTCTTCAAACTTGGAGAAGTATAAATACTCGCACGTCAGATATCATTTTACCTCTCACTCACAACTCGCACCTCCACAATCTCAATCTCTCAATTTCCGGAAATCGGTGAGTTTCTCAATCCCTAATCGTTTCGTACTATCCGTTTGAATGTTTGAATTAGTTGCTGTTCTTAGTTGCTGTTCGTTTGATGGATTCGTGTATTTTCCTAAAACATTTGCTTAATTTCTTGTGAATTTGAATGCAAGTAGCTAATCTGATCGATTCCGTTGTTTGTTGAGCTTCTGGTAGATCGTAGATTTGATTGAATTTTGAGCTCCATTCCGAGTATTTTCCAGGAAATTTTGCTTTTTCTCTGCAGTCGATTTTTTTTTTGGCTTGCTGAGCCTAATGTTGAGCTTCTGGTAGGTTGTAGATTCGCTTGAATTTTGAACTCCATTCTGTTCATCTTGTAGCTTGCTGTTCGAAATTACTCCGTTAATCTCTAAATTCATGTTTTCTAATGTGCTATTGTTCCTATTTGCTAACCTTTTTTTTATTCAAATTTAGGCGAGAGTTATGTTTTGGCTAGTTCCTTTGGTTATCGTTTCGATTTGACCCCTTACTTATCATCTGATTAATTGTTGCTGTTTAAGATCATACTTTGTTCTGTCACTGGATTCTCCTAATGAAAAAGGTTCACAGCAGTCAACAGTGTGTACACTAATTTGAGGTGTATTATGTTTAGCTTTGCTCTGTGATATACTGATCATTACAATGTTTCGTAGATTGAAGCTCATAGTTTTCTCAGGCCTCTTTAAATTTGTATTATAAGAGTGTCAATTTGGTGGATGGAAAATACGTAATGTGGAAAAGGACTGAAATCCTTCTTCCTGATTTGGAATACGCAGCGAGTCGTTGACAGTTAGTGTAATTTGCAGAGATTATATTAAAATCTACAAGTCTGAGACTATGGCAAAATCAGATTCAGCAGAAGAAGTTCCGGCATTCCCTCCACCGCCAGTGGAGCAGGGAATGCGATATACCGTTGATGTGGATATCCCGATGGAAAATGATATATTGTCCGTACAATTTCTTCACCATCTGCGTCAAGTGCTTGAACAACAATTTGGAGAAAATCTAGCAATAAATTTGAGAAACAAGCAACGAATTCTTCATGCGCCCCCGGGGCTTCCCAATAATGGCCTCCCCCCGGCGCCTCCCAATAATGGGCCCCCCCCAAGCCACAATCCAGGGCAAGATCCCCATAACAACAACATCAATGAAAGCAATTACAACAGCAAGGAGGAAAGTGCTAGACTGAAGCAGCAAGAAAGGGCTACACTGAAGAGGAAGAAGAGGAAGCAGCGTGAAGGTAAATCCTGTCTCTGGAAAACATTTAATATCTCAATTAACATTCTATTTATGTTTCTCCCTGTCCCTAAATCTGTCAAGACCCTCGGCGATTGAACTGCTTTCCTCTTTAGTCAAATATATGGTTTTTTATAACTTAAATTTGTTGAGCCGGACTTATAGCCTACTCCAAACACCGAGCGTGGAAACAGGCCCTTTCTTTGAGAACATGGCAGTCAAATTACATGCACTTGCTATGAGTTGCATTCTGGTAAAGAAAGTTGCAATGATGTCTCATAGCCACTTTCTTGCTGCAGCTGAGCATTGGGAAACAATGGAAGGGGTTTCTGGACTACAATGAAACTATTGGATTCATATTTCATGTAAGGATGTTGTTTCTTACGTATATCATTCGTTATTATATTCAGTTTCATGTCATGTTGGGGGCCTCATAAATAAGTAACACCCTATATGCTCTGGTTTTTGCAGAGGATGCGATGAGACAGGATAGAAGTGCCAAGAATAAATACGTAGCCTGATGTGTGTAGTACTGTTCTTTGGTAGTGCTCAATGCTTTCCAAACTGCAACAGCATTCTATACTCGCATGCAGAGTAACTTCTGACTAATGTTTGCTCTCTTCGGGCCTCGTTTACAGATTTTAGACGACTTCATATTTTCGGTTTAAGATGTGAATGTGCTACAACGGATGCCTTATATGACTGAGTTTGTTGAGTTGTATACGTCCTACGAAACTGTTCTGTTGAGTTGTTTGGAAGCCTATATAAACGCAAGAAACAGAATCGCATTGAAGACTTTAATTATTTCGTTTTAACTCGATCTTATTGTTAAGTAACGAACAAAGTCCATACAACCATCACGTAACTAACATCCACGAAGAAGTGGAGGACCAGCCAAGTCTACATACTGTTACTGTTGGAGGACCACCTGCAAGTGTAGTAGTAGTGGTGAAATGTCGAATTTAAAGTCGAAGGTATTGACACCAGTGTGAAGACCTGTTAGAACCAATCAAATGACACTTACAATATATAATAATTTGCACAGTTTATTACAAATGAAAAATACAACAACAGATACTATATATCAAAATATAAACACTTCATGAAATTGCACATAAAATCACAAATCACTGACTTGTTATTTGAAGAAAAATTGAATCCAAAAAGAAATAAAAAACGTAGCTTGTGCTTTTCACCAATCTGAGCCCAAACCCTTCAAGTTTAAAGCCTAAGGTCCTTGGCTTTAGCTTAATTTCTTTCAAATGGACCACACTTTTGATTCCCCCCACTACACTCCTCATTGTCAACATGGTTGGTGTTGTAGCTGGATTTTCGGACGCCCTTAACAAGGGATACGAAGCTTGGGGGCCACTTTTCGGGAAGGTTTTCTTCGCCTTCTGGGTGATTCTTCATCTCTATCCCTTCCTCAAAGGTCTCATGGGACGCCAAAACCGGACTCCAACCATCGTTATTTTGTGGTCAGTGCTCTTGGCCTCTGTCTTCTCTCTTGTTTGGGTGAAGATAAATCCCTTTGTGAGCAAAGTGGACAGCTCAACGCTTGCTCAAAGCTGCATTTCCATAGACTGCTGAGACATTACCTGAAAGTTTTCCACGATTTTGAATTCGTTATAGTTTGAATGCGAGGAAAAACTCGATTTCTGGGAATCACAAGTGAGTTCTTTGTAGTTTAGAAAGATTTGTAATGATTTTTTTTCCTTTTTCTTGGATTTTGACAATCAGTGTGTAAAGATTTAATCATTGCTGTCCTACAATATCAGTGTACGAAGATGTTGTAATTGTCCCTTCCAATTGCATTTGGATCACGTCTCATCATCACTTAGTGATGTATTTTTGTCTATTTTTTGTTCTAAATCATTAACGTTGGGGAGAAAAACTTGTGTACGGGACCTAAACACATGATTTGTAAGACAATTTTTGTAAAATATGGGATATTCTTTGTTAGATTCAATATGAGAGTTGTCATAGTTAAGCATTTGTATCGAAGCTTTCCTCCAACAATGTGAATAGGTCATGGATACAGTTATCCCACGGAGTTACGCTCACAATGGAATGGACTCGGTGGTACCAACCATATAGGGCAGCAGGCTCAAAGGTCTAGGAGTTAGAGACTAGTGTGAAGTTGTGTCGAACAAAACACAAAATAACGTTATTTTATGTGAAAAGTTGAACGAATGACGTGATCTGTGATTGAACCGAAGCATTTTCCCTAAACCAGACTTTTCGTACGCTAGCTAACACATCATTTTCTTATGAGTAACCTTGTCTTGATAGAAAAGCAGAAATATGAGCATCAGAATACGGCCCCCACTCCCGATCGAATGGTCACTCTCCCTCGCATGGTCTCAGAACCAGAAATCTTACCGTTGTTTCACAACTAAATTCCTCAAAACCTTTCTACTTCTATGTCGCACCCTCTGTCTTTTAAAATAAGTCACAACAACACAATGATTGTTTTCTATATATATATATATATATATAATATAGAGTATACCGTAAGGCAAAAGGGTTGGACACAACAAAAGTCCACTTGAGATTCTTTCTAAATTTCTATGTTCGGAGTAGACGGACTCAGAAATTCAAGTTGTTCAAAAGAGAGATCATGACTATTTAAAACTTTGCTTTTCTGTAAAATGGATCAGTGTAATATGATGTTTTAGACACAGAATTTCGGAGATATCTCAACTCTAACTAAAAAATATTGGATTTTCAGATTTTCAGATTTATATTATAAATCCCGTTGGGCTTTTGGCCTTTGCCTTTAACGGAAGGCTAAATATTTAAAAGAAATTTGTCGGATTAACAAGCCATTTACTTATTATTTAATTAATTACTCCATTAATTAACCTGTTGAAAACTGGAAAGCTGAAATCTGCCTTCGAGTCCTTCTGATGAGATTTTTTTTCAGATTTTCTTTGTCGGGATCCTAAGAATTTTCATATATTCATTGTGTGATCAGTTTTCATTAAGTATTATTTATGTTTAATTTTAAATAAAATAATTTAAAATAATTTTGACCGCCTAATATACGATAGAAAGTTAGAATATGAGGAACTTTAGGATCCCCACAATTTAAATCCGGATGAGATCCAAATCCAAGTTGTTGACCCATGTTCTTGTATTTAACAGAAAATGATCCTCTCCTAATCTCTTTCCACCTAATCCACCTAGTTTGGGATCTGGACCGTTGAAATTTAATTCAACTGCTACAAATAGGGGATCCCTTTAAAAGTGATAATAACTATAGCCGGTAGATCAAATTTCAACGATCCGAATTCCAAACTTGATGGATTAGGTGGAAATTGATTCGGAGAGGATCCCTTTCCGTATTTAACAGCAGCACGTATGTTCAAACAAGGTACTACACGTGTGGCCACATAAGAATGTCCCTGGTTTTATCGTTATTTACACACTCAACCAGGCCAGCCTTTTCATACAGGCAACCACTCTTTTATTTTCCATAATTAATGCTGCAAAAAGACAAAGGTGAAAAAGTTGGTAGATTATTATTTTGTTTGCCTAAATGGTGTTAATTGCTGCTGGTTTAATTTCTCCAACTTGATTAATTCAACACTTTTTGACAAATAAAGGGGACGAATAAGGATGGTAAAATCATCATGACAAATCTTTATGTTTATCAACTACAAATCATCATTAAACTTCAAATTAACTAATTACCTTACTCCTTGGAAGAAAAAAAAATCAACTACTATGTTGATCGCTCAAAGTTGTCACTTAGAATTACTATTTAGTAAATAATATTCTCTACTTGTAAGTAAAAATTTTTTAATTCAAGAATTTTATCTGAGGAGGGGCCTCACAACATGAAAAATTAGAGTAAATTGCACAAACGTTGAAAGACCCATCAAATTCTATTCAGTGAGCTAAAAACATTGTAGAAACTCAAATGCTTGAATATGAGGTAAATAGTTAAGCGAGAACATTTAAAATATGACAAAAGGACTAAAGAAAATACAAAGAAAAGTTAATAGCAAAATGAGGGAAAGGGAAATCTACACTGAAATAAGAGAGATGAGTGAACAAGAGGCCTGCAAAGAAAAAGAGAATTTGGACTGAGAAGAGGCACACTTGAATTTTAATAGTATTCGACTGATAAGCAACAAGAACAATATGTTATGGTTTGTCTAAAGGAAATCCAGGTCCTACTGCATGTGGATGAGTTTTCAGGAATTGTCATGGTCATTTTGTTGGAGGTTTCTGTCAACGGATTGGTCATCGCAACTCTTGTTTTGCAAAGTTATCAGCAATTATTATTGGTATTGAGTTTGCATATCAGCGGGGTTAGCATTGTCTTTGGTTGGAAAGTGATAGTTCTAGTATTATTTCTGCTCTTCAATCGTCTGATTTTTGATCCTCCTTGGCCTCTTCATACGCAATAGTCTATATGTTTGGATCGCATTCGGAAAATGACTTTCTACACATCTCACATATATCGCAAAGGAAATCTTGTTGTGGACAATCTTGCTAACATGGGCTTGTCTTCTCCATTTTTAACATGGCATGATTCTCCTCCGATAGCGGTTCGTGCTGCTTTGTTTTCAGACTATGTTCGCTTGCCTGGTTACCGCTTCTCAAATTAATGTGCATGTCGACATCCAGGTTTGTCTCACTTTCTTTTTTTCTCCTAACTTTATGGTGTTGTTTGACTTGTTTTGCAGGTTTAGACCTTTAGGTTTGGTTCTAAACGGGTTAGGTTTCATGTCCACCCCTCTTTTCTTTGTATCATTCTCTAAAGTTTATGTCCCCCTGACTAGGTGTAATTTATTTTTTCGTTATTAATAAAATTACCCTTGTACCGTCGAGATCTTCCAAAGAAAAAAAAAAAAAAAAAAAAAAGGCAGAATGGTCCAAAACCATTCTAATCCCTTAGTGGCTCCACACATAAACAATGAATGACTACCAACCAGCATTAATAAGATGAGTATGAAACTCAAATAACATTTGTTAGCCTATCATAATTGCTCGAAAATAATAAGCTAAGAATTTATCACGGTTTTGAGGTGTAGCGGAAAAATATAAATAGTGAAGAAGCACAAAACATCAATTTTAAAACAAGCATGAAGCGGGCTGTAAACTCAGACCTGCGAATAGGTGAGTTCACCTTCATGTTCGTATCTTGATAATGAGGTGAATGCAGGAGGAATACCAGCTGGACAATGAAAACAAAAGTCCCGTTATGCAACTTTTGCAAGAGTTGAAGGGCATAAAAGTAATTCTAAGAGACAACACAGCTTCCTAAATCTCATATCATTGTTCCCAAGCTCT